TTTTATTCTTAGTAATTAGAAATGTATATATGCATTTTAATGCATTAGTTACATGTATATTAAATGCAAATTTGTTGTTTGAATTTAAGGCAAAATAACACATGTGACCTCATGTGACCTACAGCTGTGCACAAAGCTGTATTACATTCCCACCCTATTATATAGATTTAATCATAAGATGTATTTATGTTGTAAATTACACATGTATGTTTATGGTTCGGGTTATAAAAATATATTTAGATTTAAAGTAACTAGAATGATACATTCATTTTGTAAAATTTATGATATATTGTTTTGCTACTACTTGTTGCTATACTGGCTTCAAAGCTATTTTTATGGAATGATTTGTTAACAATAATTGGTTATAAAAATTCAGCTTAAAAAATGAAGCACAACTGAATACAATGAAAGTGTTCCATATGGAGAAAGAAAATTGAATTTTTCCTCAAAACTGATAATGGGATTCAAATGTGTACATTGCTCATGACCCCCTAGTGCAGTTTCTATTTGGCCACTCTTTAAATGTTTTTCTGCATAATAATAGTGCCTGTGGTTGATTTCAAAATGGCTGCATGTGGTCGTTTTAATAACGATTTCTGGGAATAATGCTTTACTCATGCAACAGTTATTTGTATAACTATAAACTATTATGTCGGGTACCATATGATATACTGTAAAACCATTTATTGTCACTGGCAGTTATTATTACTATTTTCATGTTTTGAGCATATTCACTTAATATTTAAGTTCACACACTTGGCAGGAAAGCATGAGTTGTATTGTTATTTTACATGTTTGTGGGAATTGAATTTAGCAGATTTTACTTACCACCGAAAATAGTGAAATTAAACCCCAGTGAATAATTAATGCATTTACAGTATCGTTATTTAATGCAAATCTGGTAAAACAAATGTAATGATTTTATTATCTGTCATAGCTATGGAAACTGCAACAAAAATTAAAAAACAAAAATTGATGTATTCCCTCGTCTGTAAATGTACATTTATTAATCAAGGATTGCAAGTCACTTTAATGACTGCAAGATACTATTACCAGTGTAATCAACTGATTTTTCAATTGAGTAGTTGTTGAAAAATTCAGTCCTGGGTGATGTCTCAATCACTTAAAGCAGGAGGGTAGTCACCTGTGCACGCGCAGGAATTGAGTCCCAAGCGACGATAACAACACACGCTAAAAACACAAAGGCTCATGGGTAGACGCTTGTTTGTAAACAATGATACGCTATGGCCATCTGACACATGCACAGGTGACGACACCCTCACTTTTAACAGATAGTTGCTGTGAACTCAACATGATGTGAACAGTGTGTCGCGAATTTACCCATTGCAATTCAGAAATTAAATGCTGTCATTAAATGGTATCTGCTGAGATTCTACTTCTAAAAGACAAAGTTTGAACGTGTTCACTGGTGTAAGACCATTCAGCATAACATATTGTCAGCCAATAACACAGCATAAGGTTTTGTGTCCTGTTACCATTACAGTCAAGTTAATCTATACAAACTTGTTTTTTTTGATTGACAGGATCATTTACTGCTTCCCGCTACAGCACATAATTCAACTCGCAGACCTAAAATGACACTGATAGTGCCAGCTATTGGAATGAATGGTAAGTACTGTAAAACGGTTAATTATTCACTGGGTTTTAATTTTGCTTATTTCGCTGACTGGAAAATGCGCTAAATTAAAACCCAGTGATTATGTAAAATTTAGTATAGAACACATTATCTAAATGATAAAACTGTGAATTTAAAATCCACTGAATGTGCCTGAAATGGTAAATCAGCGTAATTTAAACCCAGTGAAAATTACTGTAGTCATTTTACAGTATACAATGTATGACTACAAAAAGTGTTTTTTTTTTTAGCTAGCATATTATTTTAGATAATTTAGCTAATTCATGATGTTGTTAATTTAAAATAAAGTATATTTTCACAATGAAATTATTAGCACTTTTTAAGGTAGAGATGTAGTTTATTTGTGAATTTCAATCAAAAATAGTTTTTTTCGTTTTTTATATAGATTTTTATCTAAAGAACAATCTGTGAACATTTGACCAATGAATTCTTATTGGAAACCCGTTAAAATTGCTGTTTATTTTCTGGTTAAAAATAAAAAACACTCACACGTGGCAATGTTATTGTCCAATTGCCTAATTTGCATGAGTAACCAAATAACACGGACCTTTGCTTTTTCCATGAAAAATGGGGAAGTTTACGTCAATTTGACGGACATTCCATTTTTTTTAAACTAACGAAGCACACTGTTTAGCACTCCTATTTTTTTCATTTGCCGATTTCTATTCAGAAAAATTCGATCGCTCGAAAATGCACCTTAATTTTGCACTCTTAAAACATGTCAGATTTCCAAAACTAATTATTTAAAA